TATATAGGGATTATATTATATAAGGTATATATTGGGGTTATATGGGGGTTATATAGGGACAATGGAAAAGAAAATGGAAACTACTGTTTAGGGTTTAGGGTATAGTCCCCTCTTATGTAGATAGAATATAGGGTATATTATTAGGGTTATACAGGGACAACGGAAAAGAAAATGGAAGCTACTATTTGGAGTTTAGCGTACTGCCCCCACCCTGTAACAGTGTAACAGTCTATGCTCAAGGTCATATGTAGGGCTATATAAAACTACAGTATACGTATTCTCCACTGTTCCAGAGTGCAGGCAGTACCCAAGTTCCATACATAAGGCTCTAGCGACTTTGGGATACACCTGGGGTACAAGAGGATGACATAACATCATACGAGTATATACATATGTGTATATATATATATATGTAGAGGTTATGCAAGGTAGTGCGATTAGGGGTCCCCTTTTGGGGTCCATCCTACTGTAGCCTGTGAGAACTTTGCTCGGGATCCGTCTTTCACATGTGACTTCAATGACCAACCCAAGGTTGCAGCTGTGTCTTTTCCTCTTCATGCAAGTCTTTCAGCGGATCTGGGCTCTGAGAGGCATTTCCCTCTAAACTTTGCAAAGCCCTGCCGCAAGCCAGCACAGCACTGAAACAGTCAACAGGCTAGTCCAAATCTTGCTTAAGGACTGGAGGCTCTCAGGGATGAGCTCATCCCGGAGCACGCCTGTAAGATGCGAGAAGCGGATAGAGATGAAGAGGTACGCTCCTGACAGAATCACAAAGTTGGGCCAGAAGTAGCCCGGGATCACGGCTAAGAGCTTCTTTGGCGATCCGTTGAGGCCTGTTGTTCGCATCCAAATGTGAAATTGAAAGATGTACGTTTCCAGGGTGACTTTGCCCATGTATGCGAAGAGGTGCAGGTAGTATTGCCGCAATGTAGTCGTGAAGTTTCGCAGGATCAGGTAAATCGTCAAAGGCACGAAAGACCTCCACTGGAATGCAATGCTAACATGGGAGCAATTTCCTCTCAACACCCATGTAGTCCCTTAGGTGGATCCTCCACCCTGTACTAGTCAGTATAAGGGATAACGGTAACTATATTGGGGTCCTTGTATATTGGAATTATACTACTATTACAGGGTCGGGGATCCACCCATGTGGTCCCTAACAAAGAATCCCCTGAACCCCTTATCTTTAGCATCCCCATATGACCTATAGTCAAGCACAGACCGCTGAACAGGGCGCTGAAGAGGCGGGTGTCCTTGTGACATGAAATCCCACAAGATGATCAAAATTTATCAAACAATCCCGAGACATACTTATTGCGAAACCTTTGCAGCCCAAACCCCCTGACCCTCAACATGAAAAACTCGCTACTTAACCTGCTCGTCGATTGTCACTTTCTCCAAGAGAGGTGGCTTCCAAGGTGCGCTCAAAAAATCTAATGGCAGCCAGGGAGAGTTTCCCACAAATGAAGGTTCTGCTGGAGAGGCATGCACTTCGGGTCCGAGAATATTTTGCACGCTGTGTGATACATATATTCACATCACATACACTTACACATAAATATATACATATTATTACTAATATGGCTGGACATATGCAGATACATATGCATATACACATGCATGTAGAAGTGCGTATGTGCATGCATGTGGTGCGTGCGTGTGTGTTCGTACTTCTCTGCGAGCACGAGTATTTCCAAATGATGGTGCAGAAATGATTCTGAGAACCAACGACTAAGGGCCCGGCGTGTAAGGGTGGATTTTGTTGTACTGCAACTTCGGCAAGCAGAACACCGCAAACCACCAGGCTACCCCAGCAACCACTGACACCAAGAGGATGCTTGATCGGGCCACGACTGCCTTCGTCCACGAAGACCTGGGTATCAAAGCTACAGTCCTCCTTCCTCCTCCAGTGTTGTGAACTGTCTCAAAGGAGGCCCCAATAAACCGATGTGAGGTCGTGCCAAAATTCTTATTACAGCGGCCGTATCTTAAGTGGTATCTTTGTTGGGTTTCCCCTATCGGCAAACAGCATTTCAGCAAATCAGCATGACCAAATAGACTTGCATGCGCTGTAAGTTAAGTTGGGCTTCCCCTATCGGTAAACAGGGCTTGAATGAAATTACATAAACCATGGCCGCGCGAAGACTTGTTCCTTGCACCGAGATTTATGGTTGTGGCTCATGTGCAAGTTTAAGACACAGCCCACCTGTCGAGCTTCTCGAGGAAGGCAGCGGCATCTTCATAGTGCAAAGCAAAGACCATGCCCACTATCCAGATGAAGCGGTCTAGGCCAGATCGGAAATGAAATTCGTGCATTTCGTCCGTGAACTCTGGATGTAAAGGGTCGTGAAAGGCAAACAGCGGCCTTATTCCGGGAAGCGTGCCAAACACCAAACGGAATACCACATCCGGCCCGTCATACAAAAACAGAGTTCCCGCAAATGTCAGCAGGATCTTGACCCAAAGGACTTTGCCAGACGTGTTCATTGTGTGCTGCACATACATTGCAAGCAGCACGAACACCGTGAAGATGGTATGCATGGCACAGATATAGTACAGCATGTACTCATTTCGCAAGACAATGCAAACAGCGAAGCCCAGGAAGTTCAATCGAAAAAGCATCTGAAGTGTGCGGCGTATGGTAAAGCTCTTACCCTTGCGATACAGGAAGAAGTTGCCGTATCCTGTCATCCAAACGTACGCAGCGATGTAGACACGGATAGCGTTGTAAACCTCTTTCTCTTCAAAATAGTGATACCTCAGCAGGGCACCCGGAACAAACCTGGCGTCCAACAAAAAATGAATCACCAAAAAAATGTGCAGCACTGTTCTTCAACAGGCGCACTCGCATCCTTCAATGCGGCTGCTGCATGAACCCAAGTGCAGGCCAGCAACATGAGAAACATGATTTGCATCCATCCTTTCCATTCGTCTGTTTGCTCCCTTGACAGTGGAGCAGCATCCTTGCACTTTCGAATGGTGAACAGAGAGGCCACCACGATTATCGCCCAAACGCCCCAGAACTGAGCAGGATCACGGACTTTTTCTGCCTCCTGGGTTCTTGTTGAAATACCATGAAAAAAGATCTTGTGTTACTGCTATTGGGCCCAGGTACTCTAAACCCTAAACCCTAAACCCTAAAAATGTAAAATTTTGTTCTACAAGAGCGCAGCTTCCGGAAGCACTTCAGTGCGATCACATAGGTATAGAAGTGCCAGGATTGCCTGTCAGGGATGTCGAGGGTTTAGGGGTTTAGGGTGTAGGACTATAGTAGTTTCCATTTTCTTTTCCATTATCCCAATATAACCCCAATATAACCCCCAATATAACCCCAAGATAACCCCAAGTTTAGGGGTTTAGGCCTCGGCTAAAGGCTCAGACGGGGATAGATGGGGATACTGGACAAGAAAATGGATACTACTACCATCACAATAGGGTAGATATTGGGGTTGCTATGGAACATAGTATGTGGGATATATAAAGATAGCATTCCCTAAGTCCCTACTGTATGTACTGGGATTAATGCATGCTCTAAGGGCCGCGTCACCAAAGCCGAGGCATTGTTCTCGTACTGGTAGTTAGATGGAATATGGGAATATATCACGTAGGGATGGTTTAGGGGTTATATCACCTTATTTATTCCCTACTAACCCCAATATATACCCCATCATGAATGTGCAGTTGTTCCTTCTTCCTTGCCATTATCCCCAAATAACCTCAGTCAATATATTCCCTGCTTCCCTACTAACCCTAAACCCTAAACCCTATGTTATAACCTTATATTCCCCCCTAAACCCTAAACCCTAAACCCTATGTTACAACCTTATATTCCCCCCTAAACCCTAAACCCTAAACCCTAATCCCTAAACCCTAAATCCTACTAAGAACCAGTAAGTTCTGCAGAAAAGCTGCAGACATCTCGGCTCCTGCTCGCAGGGGATCCGAGTTGCTCTTCAACCACACCTGCGGCTGCGGAATATAGTTAGTAATAATAATAGTAATGGTAATAAAAGTAATAGTAGTACTAATAGTAGTAATAATAATAATAGTACTAGTAATAATAGTTTAGGGTATATATATATGTGTGTGTATAGTTATCATCATTATTACTCTTGATATTATCACTATACAATATGTAAAAAAAGAACTATACATAGGTTTTAGGGCATAGGATTGGCAGGGAACATGGGAATACAATCCCTATATGATGTATGGTCTATTCCCATCTTCCGTAGTAAGAACCAGTAAGGTCAGGGTTTAGGATGGCTTAAGGAACCCCATAAAGTTAACCACGTCCTCAATTGAGCTCATTCCAGCCTGCGGTATCGCGAGAAGTCGTTGGCTGTCTAGTGCCTTAGGGGCATGGCTTTCCGCAGACCCCGCAGCGAGCGCTACGTACTCCATGGCTAGCACTCGACTTAGAACAAGTATGAACATATCAATGGTCATGGCAGCATACCATCTCATTTTGCAGAGTTTGTCTGGGAGACGTCCAAACGTTAGAAACGACTGCCGTTACAAAATCGTTCATTGGTTTGGAGAGCTGGGTGCCCTTTCGCTTCAGCATTTTGGCGAGTCGAGGTATTTACGGAACCAGCGGCAGGCAGCAACTGCAGATTTAATGGCTTTATGTGCGCCCCACCCCCGACAGGGCGTGTCCCGAGCTACGCAAAGCTATCGATTCGCAGACTCACTGCGAATCTCCAGCACAAGAACAGAACCCGAAGCATACGTGTGTAGATAAGTACAGCAGGTCGAGGAACATGAAGCAGCAGCATCACTCAGGCATCCTACTGGCACGAGTGTAGCATGCCGATGGCTTTGAGCCTTTGAGCATATCTGCTGGCCCCAGCGGCTGGATCCTTCACCGCGTCTTCGGGCGCCGCATCTTTCTCAAGATCTTTATCATCAGTGTTCATCTCCTTCGAGAAGTGTCAATGACATTGGAACCCCACAGGCTAGAGACGCAGAAGCAACAGCAACAGCATCAGCAGCAACAAGAGGGACCTTCCGAGGTCGACACCTTAATCGTAACCTAAACCCTTGATTTTGCAGGTTCCCAGAGGAGTGCCGACGTCTTTGGGCGTTGATCCTAGGATATCCTAGGAAATGACAATGGCTGTGGGTTTTTGTTGGGCAGCATACGACCAGCTGCAGCTTTGACTGCATGTCGGTTTATGCCCGGAAGGGTTGCTCAGAATGCATCCCTCTCACCCCGAAGAACAATACTTGGAGGGTCATGGGGACTTAGTAACTAGGTTAATAACCCCTATGAGCCATATATAGTAAGCCCAGTTATCCCCATTATTAACCCACTTATTAAGTCCCCATGACCCTCCAAGTACACGGCTTGTAGGTCTGGAAGCAGACGGAATTGCCAGCAAGTCACAGATGACCCATTAGCGGCTTCTCCCATGCCAACCAGCTCTGCAGGCGGTTCGTTTTGAGGTGCCGGCTCCTTAGCCAGGATAATGTAAACACGGCACCCTGGGAACCTACTGTACTTGGGGGGTCAGGGGGACTTAGTAAGTAGGTGAATAATGGGGATAAATGGGCTTACTATATGGGTTATAGGGGTTATTACCCTAATTACTAAGTCTCCCTGACCCTCCAAGTAATGATGTCAGCCAACAGTTTGGGATCCTGAAACGTATCTGCATTGGGCGTTGCCACAATTCGGACCTCAAAAAGAAGGCACTGCAGAAACTGCCTGCACACCGCCATCTGCTGCCACGAGGCATATCCCTTCTCCGTGGAATGTTGTGGGAGATACGAGGAGACCTCAGAAAGAACCCACCACCCTACCGAAACCTTGAAGGAGTAGAATGCGGTGGACGGCTGAGGAAAAACTGGGATATAGTCCCCTTTAAGTAGATAGAATATGGGGTATATGAGGATCTTACTATAATAAACCCAAAGCCATTTTCCATCTACTTATCTGGGCCTATACACCAAGCCCCAGGGCCAAAGGAGTGAGGCTTTTAAAGGATCCACCTTTTCAGGCTTTTTACCAGTGGATCCTGAGCCGCCGAGAGATTCTATCTACCCTTGCCGGTTGCTGCGTTGGATGTAGGAACTCTTGGGCCACTCAGGTTCCCCATGTAATTCCTAGCTCCTGGCACAAAACTCCTAGATCATTATGTGGGATTTCCTGCATCAAGAATCCAGAGTATCTGAATCTGTGGTCAGCTGTAGGGCCCTCAATTCCTCACGCATGATGGCCGCACCCAGCTCGGGCTCTCAAAGTCTGACTCTCTGACCCAACCGGCAGCCACAAACAGACAGGGCACCTCCGCTGATGCCCAAGTAGCCAGCACAAGGCTGCAGAAGAGCCCGGCTGCAATCTGCAACTGGCTATGCTCTCCATACCTGGAAGATACACCCATAGCTCCAATGCTCATAAGCAAGGCAACCCTGATTCCCAGCGAGAACTCGCTAAGGGACATGTTGCTTGCGGTTTTGACGCCCCCATCTGCCTGTGCAGAGAGCCAAGAAATTGGCAGGAACAGAGGCTGAAGATGAAGGATGCAAGCCACACGCCGCACAGTGGCAACAGGTACATGGCTGAAAATGGTATGGATCCTACAGGCCTAGCAGCCCGCAGGTACGCATCTACAGGGTTTGACATCCTGTTTCAACACTGAGTTCCACCCCATGAAGGCTGGGTACGCGCTTGCAAAGTCCTAGCTTACGTTGGCGTTTCTTTCACCCAGAGGTTAAGGCCGGTTCATGGCCTCACTGACTCATTGGCAAGATTATCTCTTTGATTGATCTTCTGTAACTACAGCACACTCCGAGCCGAGCGCAAAGGGCCACAGGCTGAGGAGGAGACAAGATGATGTTGCAAACATAACTCTTGATACTCAAGAAATCAGTGCCAAAGGCAGCGGATGGGAGATATGGGAGCTTCTCAAAAAAACAATCCCAGGCCTGAGAAGACCCTCACAGTTGCCGTGCAATCCCATAAGGTCCCTGCCCAAGGTGACTCGAATCGGAGCAATCGACATGCGCCTGACGCCATTCAGCCTATCTATGTATCGTTGCCGTCCTTCGACTGACAGCCCGTGTTCCGCAGAAATCACACCGTCCATGGGCCTTCTCGTAATGCTGCAATGCCAAACCTGGCACAGAACGCAAAGCTTTTCCCAAAGTGATGAGAGCCATGTCTGAACTCCTAGTATCCTCCTTTAATAACCCCCCCAAAATAAGCCCCTTTACGCAGTTATAGCCCATAAGACTTCTGCTGGGTGCCCTCTAAAAAAGCACAACCCAGTTTGGTCTCTCTTGCTGTCAGCAGTGATTGCTTTGTTTAAACCAGGTGTTGTTGCTGCATTTTGCCAGTGCTGCTATTGCTCTTTTGGGATTTGTGGTTCTTCTTCTGGTAGCTTATGGTGATATCATGCAAGGAGGTGTCTGCCTCTTGAATACAGATGGCCATTCTCAACCCATGCACTTCCTCCGCATGTTGCCCCAAGCACGCTTGAATAGTTCTTCAACCCTGTTCAACCCCATCTTTACAACAAACTTTAACAAACTTATGCACATACCACCCTAGTTATGAAATTCACTCAATCCCACAATTCTGTGAAACTCCTATTCAACGCATACAGAGCCGTATAAATCCTCCCAGCATGCTTATGAAGCATTCCGAAAACAACAGATCTCTTCACCCTCAACTCTAAGCTCCGAATTCCCCCAGCGCCACTCTCCCTTCAGCACCGGTGAGGACTGTCTTCATCTTTCACATAAGATACAGATGCCAGGTCATTTTGATGTTCCAACTCATTCGGATCACCGCCGAAGGGAAAATGCCGCGCGTCAGTGCTTGCCGTCTTCGTGTATGAGGGTGTGGGCTGTACCCTCTGCCCACTGCCAGCAAAAACACACTGAATCCCTAAATCCCTCAAAACTCCGCGCCCCGAAGTTCCTGAATCCTAAACCCTAAACACCTTAAAAACCCTAAACCCAAGCCTGCCTCGACAAATTGCTGTTGTCATCTTGCCCAGCCAGCTCCTGCTTCCCCCGCTCTGATGCGGGTCTCTCCAGAAGGTACCCTTAGGAACCCTTAGGCTTTAGGGTTCGTTTTAGGGCATGTCTAGGGTTTGGGATTCAGACGGAGTAAACCTGAGACCCCGGCATGTAAAGCTTGAGGTCACAGTACTAAGCTGCATACCGGGATCTTGTCGCGTTTGTCAGAGTTTCAGCTGTCTGCGAAGGGTTGAGGGCACCGCCACGTACCACCACCTCCTCCGATGCATCACCAACAACACGACGGCTTCCACTACATCCGCTAAGACGCTGACGACTACTACCGCTACATCGTCTACCCCGAACAGTAGTGACAGAGACAGGGCCTACTCACCACCCGTACACGGCATAAGCTTCGCCTGGACCAGAGTAATCTTGTCCATCTGCGGCTGGTACGCGATCACATCCTGCAAGATTCTGCGGACATGTAGAGAATGCAATGACCATCATCCTAGTGATGCTGAAGCCAGAACTAGAGCATGGCGGTCGAAATTGCTAGCCTACTACAAGCACTAGCAGCAGGACGAGCAGCCACATGAAGGAGCACGACACTAGACAGCATGAAGCCGCCGATCTTCCACGGTCCTGCGGCTTCTTCCCTTCTGGAAGAATTTGGTCCTGCTTGACCTGGCAGAGGAGCAGTTGCACACTTCAAGAGGTCTGCCAGAAGGTCTAGCAGGGAAGGCCTCAGCACATGACTTCAAATCCTCCTGGCCGGCAGATTGCGCTGGCAAGGATTCCAAAGACATCTGTAAAGCTTTGATACTGGAAGATGTCACAATGTCCTCCGCACCATTATCTTCAAGCAGCCAATCATCCCCGCGCCCTTCAGGCTCCGGTTCGATGGCTGGCTGCTCCAGAATGCTGCCTCAGTTGCTAGAGCTCAGGCTTATCCAGTTGCTGGGTGCGCAGCAAGAAGGCTTGAGGGACAAGCAGGACGGAGCTCGGGCAGGCATGGGATCCCATCACCCCATGAACAGTAAAAAAGCTCAGCTGCGAGCAAACATGTCTCAGCATCTCACATCTGCCATGCACGCTAACAGCGACTTTGAAGCTGGATGAGGATGCGCGAGGCATGGCACAATTCTTCTTTCACAGCAAGTGCACTTGCGCAGGTATGGCCGAGTTTTGACCCATGACCCATTGCGCATGTTTAGCAACATAGGTAGACCTTCCCATGCGGCACGGTGCAGCACCGCGTAGACGCTGAAGTTGGGAAGACGGTCCGTGATGTTCTGCCACGCACGCCTCCCTGGGCCAAGAGAAAGCTGCAAGCTGGTATGGGCGCAAGACCCCTCCGGAGCAGTACCTTGAAGGCCATTGCAACGAATCAAGAAGACGGAGATGTTCATCATCACGTGGTGGTTGAATGCTCTGAGGCAGCCATGGCAGCTTTCCACAAATACCCTCATTTTCATGTTGGCTCCAACCCTGACCCAGTCGCTTCCGCGACAGTTGGTGTTTCTGCAGCTGCTGCTCGGGGTGGCGCTGTTTGTGCAGATGCGGCTGCTTGTGCTGCTGGTGTTGCTTGCAGGGTTGGCGTTTGTGCTCGTTGGTCTGCTGCTAACTGCACAGAGGGCACTAATGCTGGCCCTAGTACAGCTGGCTGTGGCATTTCTGCTGGCTGTGAAGCTTTTGGCTCTTGGCTTTCGTGAAGCGCTTCACTGGGCTGCGCTGGCTGATGATTGTGTGCGGCAGGAGTCTGGTTTGCAGAAAGCTGTGTTGGCTGCATCTGCATGGCTGCGTCACGGCTACCGCTTCCTGATTGCTCTTCCGCTCCCTTGCTTGGATAAGCAGAAGTGCGCTCGACTTGGGGCTGCCCTGTCTGGCCGATTTGCGGGTACGTCACCTGTGTTGCAGGCGCGGCAGGTGGGATTTGACCCTGCTTTGCACCCAACAGGTCGCGGCAAGGTGTCAGTTTGCGAATCACTTCGGCATGGTCTGCTTCCAACTTTTGCAAGCGCCCCTGGGCTTCTGGGTTCCTGCTGAGGAACGGGCCAAAATCACGAGCAAAACCGGCACATGCCTTGAGGGCTGCATCCGCAGCAGCCGAAGTCTGGCACAAGTGCCTCTGTTCTGCCACGTCAAGTACGCTGGTGAGTGGCCGGTCCATCACACCCATCAGGTCAATCTCAGCCTTGTGCTTGGTCATGATGTCGGCGCAGGTGTCGGACTCTTGATCAAGTAACCGAACTCGCTTCTCTTCATGCCCCAGATGTTCCAGCAGAACGTTGAGCAGGTGGCTGTCAAACTGCCCTGCCTTCGAGCTTAACTCTGCAGCTGCTTCAGACAGGGCGCGGATTGCCAGCGACTCAGTCTCAGCAGCGGCAGCTTTCACCTTACAAGTCCAAGAAATGCAGCCGGATTTCCACAATCAACGAGGCACTTTCCGCTGATTGTTTCTGGTTGTTCCTACTTGTCTGTATTTGTGAAAATCAGACATGATGCCTGCGATTAAAAACATCACTTCAATGAAGTCCACAGCACCTTCTCCGCGGCAGCCCGCTCCTTCCTGGCTGCTAAGCCCTGGTCTTCAGCCTCTTGGAGGTTTCTTCGAAAAGTCGCCTCCACATCCTCCACCTTAGTGGCGTGTCGGTGCTCAAGCGGAATAGGGGAAGGATCACTCAGGTACTCCTGTAGGGGATCATATGTGACTTGATTTGATGCCTCAGGCACGCTTCGCTATGCTCACGGGAACATAGGGGATCACATCGAGATCAATTACTCCCCTTAAGCAACAGCAAGACACTGCCCGCCGCCGGCGATCCTTCTCAGAGAGCCAGTTGCGTTGTCCCTCACGCGCGGCATGCAACTTCTCATCGATTGCATGCAGCTGCTGTCGCAGTTGAAGCTTCCTTGTCTCCAATGATTCAATGCTGGCATCAGCGGCGTTCCGTTTCTCGTCAACCACGGACAACTCTTTGGCAAGCGCGTCATGCGCTTCACGTAGCTCCTGCTGCAAGCGGCTCTGTCGGTGCCCCACACCTGCTAGCACAGTCAGCGTCTACAGACCATACGGACCAGCTGCGCACCCCTTGAAAAGTTGAACTCTCCACCTTCTCCTTGATGGAGGGAGGTGATATAGGCCTGATGAATCCAACACAAAGCACAACGCGGCCAGGCGTGAGATCTACATGCCTCAACGTTGTCCGAACAGGTCTTGAGCTGCTGGACCCGCTCCTGCTAAGACAATTCACTTGGGGCTTTCTAAATGGGTGGTTGTCAAAATTATGGCCCCTTTTTGGATCTTTATTATAATACGGCACCTAATACTTAGGGTACCCAAAAAGGGATCATAATTTTGACAACCACTCAAATAGAGCTTCTGAGCCCTGTGAATTGCTGGGGGTTAGTAATTACTGGAAAGGGAGTCTTTTGAGAGAAACTCCCAATTTGCAGAAGCACTGGCAGAACAGGCCTAGCTCTTGTTGATTTTCTCCTTTAAACTGCCAGTGTCATGTTCCATCTTCTCTTCTTTAGGGTTTAGGGTTTGGGGTCCTTTCTTAAACCCTATACCTAAACCCTCATGGTCCGTATAGCACGCCCCCGGGTTCCTGGCCTCGGCCACGGCCGCAACGTGGGCTTGCGCCTGCACACCCTATGTGAGCCATTGTCTAAACTCCTAGTACCGCCCTTAATAAGCCCTTAATACTCCCACATATAATTCCCTATATAACCCCCTTGAAGGAGTTTAGACAATAGCAAATGTGCGAACGACAGAGCACAAGCATAGGGAGCGTAAACTAAACAGCTTCAATACGACATTGCTACTATATTCACTTGTAAACCTACATCATGACATGAGCACATTTGAGTTTCATGCGTGAAATGCCGCAGTTCAAGGAAAGGGTCCACCCTTATGGATCCCAAATTGGTATAGTCCTTATTATGCGCACCCCGCGACACGGGACCCCCAATTTTTGGACACCACGATATAACCTAACCCCATCCCAATTTCCACTTCATAGTTCATGTGCTTCCCCATCTGATTCTTCATAGTTGGGTCAAAAGGGACCCTCAATGCCTGGAACCCCCCATATAAGCTATATATATAGTCCAAACACCAAATATCCCCTTACTCAGAAAAACCTATAATGCTCCCCTTTACAATCTCCTATATAATCCCCTTGAATGCGTGTAGTCTGTGGCAAAATATGTACCATAATCTAAACTCCTTAAAGGGGGTTAAAAAGACAATTATATAGGGGACTACTATAGGGGCAATTAAGAGAGATACTAGGAGTTTAGACAATAGCTCATATGTTATGGAGCACCTCCTCGAGATTCTGGTAGAGCGCCTTGGAATCTGGGTCCCCGCGGAGGGCCAGGCCAAGCACGGCTTTTTATAGTCATGGAAGTAGGAATACTAGAACAAAGAGTAAACATGGAGGCTTCCCAAAATTAGGGATACCTTTTTGGGGTTCCCTATAATAAGGACTATAGTATTTTGGGGTCTATATTGGGGTCCCCTGATTTAGGGAAACTACCACATAGTGGTGGTTGAGGGTTAGGGTTGGCTTTCACTTCACTTGCAGGGTCAAGAGGATGCCGTCGAATCTTAAGAATTCAGCGCAAGCTTGCCATTCCTGGTCTCTCGGCATGGCACGCCTAACCACGCAATTGATGCAATTATGGAATAGAATGTCTTTTCCATATTCCACCTGAAGAGCCCATCTATGGAAGTCAAATGCCACCGCTGCGGCCACCCGGAACTGCAACCGAGCCCGCCACCTCGTGCAGGCCTGCGTCACAGAGCATCCAAGTTCAGGCTTTAGGGCAATACGTCCATGTGGGTCATGCGAGAAATTGCAAAGCCCAAAGCTGCATGCTTCTATGACTTCATGCGGGAAATTGCTAGCTCCCTGCGATCTCTGCACGCATGCCTGTATTTCATTGTATCAGCGCTATATGAAGCCACATTCTAGTACACGTAGGATACATGTTTAGGGTGCCCCAATGTCCCCCACTAGGATACTCTACATAAGTATACACCCCACACAAGGAACCCTACATACCTTCACCAACACTATAATGATCACTGCCACCCCATAGAATCCCTGACCCGCAACACATGATCCCTATCCATATTTATGTCAATGTCTAGTGCTAGCTATCTATACATATATACATATACATGTATAGGTACACATATTATAACAACCCCAGCTAATCCGTCCCACAGAACATACCCCCCACTCCCGAGTAATGAACTGCCAGTTATATTGTATTTGGAATGCTCGTTGCTAGGGGGATGGGCTTCGTTGAGGTGAGGTAAACCCTCACACGACCCGTACGTGTATCATCCTATGTCCATGCAATATCATTCTCCAATGTTGTGGTAACCCTGAACCCTAAACCCTAAACGCTTAAGGCGATTATCTCTGCTGATTTCTGCGCTCCTAGAAGCTCTGCGGACGTGCGGACGCGACGCGCAGACCTGCGAAAGACACACAGGAATCGAACTCACAGTGCCTAGTCAGTACTATTTCAGGGTTCTGGGCTTGTTGGGGGGTTGCGGGGACTATGCAACATGTCCGGGCTAAGGGTTCACGTGAGAATTTCACATATTTACAGATAGTGAGGTCATTACATGGATCTAGGACTTTAGCTATAGACCTTTGTTTGGGACCTCCATGGCAGGGCAGATGGTTTGGGGAGCTCGAGCGGGACTCTCGTTGGGGCTCGATCTATCCGTGACAAAGTATGGAGAGCATGTAGGATTCGAGAATACTCCCCATGTCCTCCCCCATGCTGGTCCTTGAGTCCAGTCCCTGTTCCAGATAAAGCATCAAGCTGGAATAGATTCTATAGCAGTCAGTAGCACCAGACGGAATACCTCGGAAACAGCAGCATCTACTGTAACATACATGTTCTTGTAAAGAAAAACCCCAAATAGTAGTTTCCTTTATATTAATTTCCATCATCCCAACATAACCCCTATATAGCCCTTATATTAAGCCAAAAAATATGTATACACATATATATATATACCCTATATAACCCCTATGAGGGGGTTGCCTCATATACTCCTAACTCTAACAGGTCCTCATTTTGGGGTCCCCAAACCCAGTCAACCTTTCACCTTGACCCCATACCCCAAAGCCTGCCTAAATCCTACGTCATAACCGGTTTGGGGTTTAGGGTCTAGCGACTAACACTAAACCCCGCACTCTAACCTACCCTAGCCCAAGACCTTTTGTGGGCCCCTTTGCTAGGGAATATAATATATTGAGGTCTAGATGGGAGCACCTAAAATCTTGGAAACTATTATCCCTATATAACCCCAATATACTATAGTAGTTTCCATGTATCGTCCATTATCCCTACATCACCCTTATATACTACAGTAGTTTCCGTTTTCTTTTCCATTCTCCCTATATAAGCCTAAACCCTACACCCTAAATAGTAGTTTCCATGTTCTTTTCCATTATCCTTATATAACCCCTACAAAATCTCAATATAAATCCCAATGTACTGTATAACCCTATATAATCCCCATATAATCCCTATATAACCCCTATATAATCCCCATATAACCCTATATAACCCCTATATAACCCTATATAACCCCTATATAACCCTATATAACCCTATATAACCCTAACCCCTACCAACCCCCCCCCCCCTCC